CTCACACACCTCTGACCCCTGGAAAGTCAACCTAGAAGCCTCCTAGAAGTTAAGGCCAAACCACATGGCCAGGTGACAGGTATCCCCCTGCACACCATGCCCAGTAACCCCCGCTACAACCCTCCCTCTCCTCTGCACACTCTCTGTGTTGTACACCCACCCCCTGCACACCACTCGTGCCTGCACGCGTGGTCCTCTGCACATGCGCACACTCCCCACACCTCTGACACTATGGTGGTGCACATACCTGGCACACAGCACACACTTGCAAAGTTCCCCAGGGCACACTGCCAAGAGCATCTGTGTACACCCCACACCACACACACCGCTCCTCACACCCACCCTTGGCCTCCCATCACCCCTCACCCTCTCACAGGCACACTTGCCCCACGCACACATGTGCACACGCAAGCTGCATGCTCTGCAGGCCTCCCCTCACAGGCCTGATTTTGAGGGCAGGCCTCAGGCCGGGAAAAGCATCTGAGGACAGCGACACAGGCTCACGCTAAGCAGGGAAGGCATGAAGTCACCTGGTTCCAGCTCTTTCCTCCTGAGGAGGGGATGCCTGTCACTGAGGTCATTGACGCGAGCTGGGGTGCGATCGCTTTGCTCAGCTGGGCCCCCGGCCCAGTCTAAAGCGGCACAGCGGCCCCGGATGCATCGCCGAGCACCGCGGGACCTGGCTCTTGTTTGTGTGTTTTAATCAGAAGTTTCCCCGTAGCTTCCTGGCTTTGCAGTCACATCCTCTCCTAAACCTAAACCCCACCCAGGCTCCCCTCCTCCCCGGCAGGCTGGCGGGCAGTTGGTGGTTCTCCCCGCCAGCCCCGCCTGCCCCAGTCTTCCTGTAACTCTGAGTCAAGCGGCTCCTTCCTCCAGGGCCCGCCCCAGTCCACTGTGGCCCCAGCCTTCCCTTCTCAGGCTAGGTCTAGAAGGCCAGGGCTCATGGTGATATGTGGGGGTCCTGGCCAGCAGACCCCCAATCAGGGCTGTCCCGCACACCAACGAGGAGCTGGGCAGTATGGCCCTGTGGTCCCGGCACCTGGAGAGGGCGGGCTCTGTGTAGATCCCCTGGCCCCAGCGAGCATCTCGGACCTCGCCAGTGATGCAACCTTGGGCAGGGCTCTCCGGCCCCCGCCCTGGCCACCTCCGAGGTGTAGCCCCCAAACAGTGAGCAGTTACAAGGGGCTTGGGTTATCAGGTTTACCTTAGCCCCCTTTTCTACATAAGGAAGCAGTCAGGAGGCCTCAGTGAGGCTCCCAGATCTGAGCCCAGGTCGGGGGCAGCCTGAGGTCACCACAGATTCCTCTGCACCCTCACCCTAGACTGACCTGGCACTCTCGGCCCAGCACTGGTGGCTGATGGCCCTGCTCATGGAAATCAGGCAGGGTCCTTTGTGGTCCCGTCCCTGCTCTCACCGATGGGGCAGGGCCTTCCCCTGGAGCATTCTCATCCTACATCCTTAATCTGACCTTTTCCAAGGCGCCCTGCTCAAAAACCCCCACCCCGTGGCCCTCAGGGCCTTTGGATGATGGTGCATCTTGGGCTCAGGTCCCATAGACCCTGCCTGCGCGCCTTCCCCATTGAGCCGCAGCTCCTCCAGGGTGCCCCGGTAGGCCCTGAGGCTGAGTGAGCAACATAAGCACCTGATGGACAGGTTAATGGCCGCCAGCGGTCAGCGATCTGCCCAGAAACACCCAGGCGGAGGCAAAGAGCTAGGTAGTCCCCGGTGTCCCCACCAGCCTTGCTGCCTCCCAGAGCTCCTGTCAGGTTGCCTGCTGCCCCACAAGCCCGCCGGCGTCACCGCCTCACACCCGTGACTGGGCGCCCCCCCCCCCCCCGCCCCGCTTCCGCTCACGGCCGGCGTCCCCGCCGCGTCCCCCAGGCCCCTTCCCCAGAGGGAAAAGAAACCCCCCGCGCCACAGGCGCTCCAGAGAACAGCCCGCGGAGCCGGAGCCCGCCCCCTGCACCGCCCACCGCGCTCGGCCGCGCGCCCCGCGGTTCCTAGAAAGCCCGGCCTCGCGCGGCCGCTCCGCCTCCCCCGGGCTCCACGTCGGCCCGGAAGCCCGGCCCGCGCCCGCTCCCTGACTCCACGCTCTGCCGTCTGGCCGGCTGCTTGGCACCCACAGGGTCTGAGCGACCCCTGGGTCATCTGAGACAGGCGGCCCTCTGCGCCTGGCGCGTGCTTCCTCCCCGGACGTCTCTCCCGAAGGAAAGAACCCACCCAAAGGGCTGCGGCCTCGCCAGCCGAGAGGCCCCTGCTGCACCCCGCGCCCCCACACCGCACTCCCCGCCTTCCGGAGGCTGGGCCGGCCTCAGTACCCGGCCCTCCGGCTGCGGCGAGCGGGGCGAGGCGGGGCGCGCGCAGTTGGAGGGCGCGGGGGGCGGGCTCGCAGGGCCGCGCGGCCGGAGGTAGCTCCGCCCGGAGACAGGTGCGCGGCGGCGCCAGCAGGCTTCCCGGCCGGCGGCTCCCTGGGAGGCCTCGGGCCTGGGCTCCGCTCTGGGGCGGAGGCGGGCCCCGCTCGCCGTGGCGCTCCTTTTCCCTTTTCTGGCCGAGGGCCTCTGGCGGAGCGGGGAAAGCTGCCCTCACCCCCGCAACCCCGAGGGGCCAGGACTGAGGTAAGCTCTGGCCACGCGCGCAGCGGGCCCGGCTCCGAGTCGGTTCCTGCGGAACCACACCCGTCACAGCCCAGAGGCACCGCGGACGAAGAGGAGCCTCGGCCCCCCACAGGCTCCAGGCTCGGTCCTGGTTCCTGGGAGCGGAAAACCGCCACGCACTTCCGCCGACAGGAGCAGCGATCTCCACTCACCTGCGGCCCAGACTCGAGGCTCGCGAGGCCGCGAGGGCGGAGAGGCTCACCTGGGCCAGGTGCGCAACGGCGACAGCCCCAGCGACGGCGGCAGGTGCGGCCCCGCCCAGCGGCCGGGACGAGGGCGGACCCAAGTGTCTCGCTTTGCGCCCGCAGGCTGGTTGGTGCTCAAAAATGTCCTGCGCTCAGCCCTGTGGAGCCGCGGCCGCCTGGCCTGGAGGCAGAGGCCAAACCGGCCTAACCAACCCGGACAGTCTTGGTGCCCCAGGGACTCCTTGGAAATTCCGCCGCCCCCAGGGGCACCTGCGGCAGTTCTGCCCCTCCGCCCTTCTTCCTCTAGGAAGCCCGCCTTGACTCCTGCCCCTAATAGGTGCAGGCACTCCTCATTTTTCCGTGGAAGCCCACGGAAAACCAGAGGAGAGCGGGAGGTTACTGCATTCCAGGCCTTTCCCCATCTGGACCTCAGTTTCCCAGCTAACGCTGTTGTTCAGTCGCTAAGTCGGGTCCCACCCTTTTCTACCTCATAGACTGCAGCACAAGTCAGGCTCCCCTGTCCTCCACCATCTCCCAGAATTTGTTCAAATACCTGTCCATTGAGTTGGTGACGCTATCTAACCATGTCATCATCTGCTGCCGCCTTCTCCTTTTGCCTTCAGTCTTTCCCAGCATCAGTCTTTTCCAATGAGTCAGCTCTTCGCATCAAGTGGCCCAAGTATTGGATTTTCAGCTTCAGCAACAGTCCTTCCAACGAATATTTAGGGTTGATTTCCTTTAGAATTGACTGGTGTGACCTCCTTGCAGTCCAAGGGACTCTCAAGAGTCTTCTCCAGAACCACAATTTGAAAGCATCACTTCCTCAGTGCTCAGTCTTCTGTATGGTCCAATTCACATCTGTACATGACTACTAGAAAAACCATTGCTTTGACTGTATGGACCTTTATGGGCAAAGTAATGTCTCTGCTTTTTAGTACTCCGTTCTAGGTTTACCATAGCTTTCCTTCCACGGAACAAGCATCTTTTAATTCCATGGCTGCAGTCACCGTCCAGTGATTTTGGAGCCCCAGAAAATAAAATCTGCCACGGTTTCCACTTTTTCCTCTTCTATTTGCCATGAAGTGATGGGACTGGATACCATTCAGTTCTCTGAATGTTGAGTTTCAAGTCAGCTTTTTCACTCTCCTCTTTCACCCTCATTAAAAGGCTCTTAAGTTCCTCTTTGCTTTCTGCCATTTAAGTGGTATCATCTGCATATCTGAGGTTGCTGATTTTTCTCCCGGCAGTCTTGATTCCAGCCTGGCATTCTGCATGATGGACTCCGCATATAAGTTAAATAAGCAGGGTGACAATATACAGCCTTGATACAACCCTTTCCCAATTTTGAACCAGTCAGTTGTATGTCTGGTTCTAACTGTTGCTTTTTTACCTACATACAGATTTCTCAGGAGGCAGGTACAGTGGTCTGGTACTTCCATCTCATTAATAATTTTCCAGTTTGTTGTGATCCACACAGTCAAAGGTTTTAGCGTAGTCAGTGAAGCAGAAGTAGATGTTTTTCTGGAAGGCCCTTGCTTTCTTGATGACCCAACAAATGGCAATTTGATCTCTGTTTCTTCAAAACCCAGCTTGTACATCTGGCAGTTCTCAGTCCACGTACTGCTGAAGTCTAGCTTGAAGGATCTTTAGCATAACCTTGCTAGCATGTGAAAGGATTTTGAGTATAACCTTGCTAGCCCTGAGGGCAGACATAATCCACCAGAGACCCAGAAATCTACAGAAAGTTTTTATTTTATTATAGAAAATTCTGCTGGTTGAAGGGAGCCAGGGGGTGGGGCAAGATCTGGGGCCCAGAAGTCAGAGGGCAGCCCAGGAAAGAGTCCAGCCCCCCTGCACTGTGACTGCACGGGAGCCCCTGCCGCTGCCTGCCCTCCCCCCCCAGTTCTAGGGGTGGCAGGAGTCACTCAGAGTTCAAGTCGGGCAGTACCAAGCCTGAGACCTAACACATGGAACAGGCCTCACAGACCACAGACGAGAGTGCAGTTCACAGACACCCCACACACACAGGGGCTCCCAGGGCCCCCACACGTAGTCGGGTCTTCCTAAAGCTCCCCACACACAGCCAGCCAGGCTGAGGCAGGAGGCTGCAGTGGCAGCTCCTGAGTCGTGGGCCTCCAGGCACCGCCTGCTCCGGGTCCCCTACACGTCTGTGCTCCTGGGGCTGCAGCTGGAGGCAGGAAAGGGGCTGAGTGGGCCCACCCCAGCCCCTCTCCACCCCCAGCCAGCCCTGCCTCTCCACCTCTTTAGCTCCAGTCTCTGGTACTTCTTCTTCAGGACTTCGTTCTTCACAGACTGTGGGACGTCAGGCACGAACCAGGCCGCAATGAGCTTGATGCATAAGGCCACGTGCTGGGCAGAGAGGGGAGGTCAGGAGGGCTGCACAGGGACATCAAGGGTCGGAGAGCTGGCCCACTCCAGGGCCCCCGCCTGCTGGCTCACCTCAAAGAGGATGAGGAAGGCCAGGCGGATCGCCAGGAGGAACCAGTGCTGCTCTGAGAAGTTGGAGTCCTGAGCAGAGAAATAGTCCCGGTACCTGGGGTGGGGAGCAGATGAGGTCAGGGGTCAGGAGTTCAAAGGGTGCTCACAGGGGGTGGGGGTCCGAACCTGCACTCAGTCACATTCTCAGAGCCCTCGATTTTGGCAGGATCCTGGAAGTCTTTGGTGTAGAACACGGACAGGCTGTGGTTGACGTAGCCCGTGAAGCAGCTGTGGGCAGAGGACAGGAGCTTGGTGTGGCCCCTCAGGCTTCCGAGGTGCTGGCTCGAATCCGGCCCGATGTGGCAGGGGCCGTCAGGGTGGGCCGCAGTGCAGACCCCCTCCTCCACCTCTGTACACGGGAGACAGGCCCTCGGGGATGCTGAAGGGACCCGCAGGGGCTGGGGGAGCCTTCCTGGGAGACCCCTGGAGACACAGCCCCACGCAGGGCTGGAGGAGCTGGATGAGGACAGCGCACAGACCCCACAAAGCATCTGACTTTAGAAGGGGAGCCGTTCCCATAGCGCCTGCTCAGAAGATGGCTAGCTCTGGGACATCAATGCCCTCCTGGGGTCCCAGTCCGTATCCCAGGCTCCACCCAGGGTCTGCAGGTCGGCACAGGGCAGGGGCAGACCACCCCAGGAGAAACTGGTAGCATCGAGCCCTGCCCCGGGCTCCCCTGGGTGGGGCCAGTTTCCCAGGGGCCTCTGGACAGTTTGAGACTCCCCCAGGGGCTGTGTGGCAGTGTCCCCTTACTCGACTTCAGACTGGGCCCCGCTCCGGCAGGGGCCATAGCGGTATTTGTACACCACGCGGGGGATGAACTCAGACGTGAAGGCGATGACCATCCCATTGGCGATGACCGCCAGCACACCGATGATCTCCAGCACCTGCAGCCAGGTCCCTGGACCACAGGAGGGAGGGAAGCCCGGTCTACCTACACGCCTCCTCCCCTGGCCCCACTGATTCCCCAAGGCTGGGAGCCCAGATGGCCAAGGGCGTTGTCACACTTAGGCCTGTGGTGACTGCCAGGCCCCTGATGAGGACAGTCTTGGCCAAGGCCACCCGAGGGCAAACGCTACTCTCCTGCACCCCCTTCTTGGCATGGACAGGGAGGGGCCAGGTCTCTATGCCCCATGTTATGCCTGAACCTTTCAGCTGCCCCCAGGCCTGCTCTGCCTCCTAGGTCCCCCTACCCCCTCACAGGGAAGGGGCAGACCCCCGGGCTGGTCACGGGATGGTGGCCTTCCTCCCAGGTCTCTCTCCTGCTGCCCTGCCAGTACTCCATCTCCTTGCTTCATCCCTGACCCCGTCCGCCCCGGCAAGGCCAGCCGAAGTGACCCAAGTCCCTGCCCCCAGCTGCTGGACATTTCTCCCCCAGCTTCCTGCGCTGAGAGTCCAGCCTTTTTGCACCAGCTTCCCATCAGCTCTGGCCCTTCAACCCGACTCGGGGGACAGTAGGGGGCATGCCAGCCCCTCCTCTTCCTGGGGCCTGGGCTCAACCCCCAACCCAGGCAGACCCTGGGAAGGGCTGGGGGCCGCCGCGGGTGAGGGCCCCTCTTGTCCCTCAAGGCTCAGAGCCGGGGTTTCGGGGAGATCGGCGAGCTGGCCGCCCCCCCCCCCGGCCGGCCCCTGACCGATGTCCTTGGCCTTGCGTGGCACCAGGCGCCGCTGCAGCCGGACCATCTTGATGGCGTCCAGGCGGATCTCCACGAGGTTGCTGAAGAGCGCGAGCAGCGGGGCGAGCGGGAAGGCGGCCACGAAGATGGTGGTGAAGCCGTACTGGATCACTGCGGGCGGGAGCGGTCACCCTGCCCTTCCTCACCGAGCCCCTCCGCCAGCCCCTTGGCCCCCAGCCCCGCCCCGCGTACTCATCTCCATGAACTCATCGAACAGGCTGAAGGTGTAGACTGGATTCAGGCGGTAGTTGCGCTGCCAGTGACCCAGTTCGGGGTCCTGAGACGGGGCCCGCAAGGAGCGATACTTGTGCGCCAGCCACCTAGAGGCAGGAGAACCGGGTGGGGAACGGGGAGGAGCCGGTGAGCAGGGGGGCCCCGGGTGGGGGGGGGTCCTGAGGTGTGCGGGACTCCCTGCGGTGGGCAGTGCCCTGGGAGGGGGGTCCTCACGGTCTCAGATACTCCATGCAGTTGCTGAGCGTCTGCTTCAGACCCATGATGATGGCCATCTGCACGAACAGGTCCATCATGCAGCCGCTGAGGTGGCACTGCAGGGACAAGGGCGGGAGGTGCGCACAGGCATGGCACTGGGCGAGGCCAGGAACGAGGGCGATTCGGGAAGAGGGCGCCCAGGGCAGGCTGACCTCCTCTAGCTTCCACAGCCCTGCCAGGCGCACCGTCTTCCCGGGGTGTCCATTGATCCTGTGAAGGACAGCCAGGCTGAGGGAGACGGCAGGACAAGAGTGGGGATCAGGGCACAGTGGGCCCTGGAGGGGAAGGAAGCAGACCTGCCCCACAGGTGAGCAGCGGCCGGATGTGAGCCTCATGCCCAGACACGCCTGTGGGCACATGCTCGCACACACAAACCACTAGACCATCAGGTACGACCTAAATCAAATCTCTTACGGTTATACAGTGGAAGAGACAGATTCAAGGGATTAGATCTGATAGACACAGCACCTGAAGAACTGTGGACAGAGGTTCATGACATTGTACAGGAGGCAGTGATCAAGACCATCCCCAAGAAAAAGAAATGCAAAAAGGCAAAATGGTTGTCTGAAGAGGCCTTACAAATAGCTGAGAAAAGAGAAGCGAAAGGCAAAGGGGAAAAGGAGAGACTTTCCCATCTGAATGCAGAGTTCCAAAGAATAGCAAGGAGAGATAAGAAAGCCTCCCCCAGTGATCAATGCAAAGAAATAGAGGAAAACAATAGAATGGGAAAGACTAGATCTCTTCAAGAAAATTAGAGATACCAAGGGAACATTTCATACAAAGATGGGCAAAATAAAGGACAGAAATGATATGGACCCAACAGAAGCAGAAGAAGATATTAAGAGGTTGCAAGAATACAGAACTGTACAAAAAAGATCTTCATGATCCAGATAATGTCATGATAGGTGGTGTGATCACTCACCTAGAGCCAGACATCCTGGAATGTAAAGTCAAGAGGGCCTTAGGAAGCATCACTACAAACAAAGCTAGTGGAGGTGATGGAATTCCAGCTGAGCTATTTCAAATCCTGAAAGATGATGCTGTGAAAGTGCTGCACTCAATATGCCAGCAAACTGGGAAAACTCAGCAGTGGCCACAGGACTCGAAAAGGTCAGTTTTCATTCCAATCAAAGAAAGGCAATGCCAAAGAATGCTCAAACTACCGCACAACTGCATTCATCTCACACGCTAGCAGAGTAATGCTCAAAATTCTCCAAGCTAGGCTTCAACAATACAGGAACCGTGAACTTCCAGATGTTCAAGCTGGATTTAGAAAAAGCAAAGGAACCAGAGATCAAATTGCAAACATCTGTTGGATCATCAAAAAAGCAAGAGGGTTCCAGAAAAACATCTAATTCTACTTAGAAAAACATCTACTTCTACTTTATTGACTACACCAAAGACTTTGACTGTGTGGATCACAACAAACTGGAAAATTCAAGAGATGGGAATACCAGACCACCTGACCTGTCTCCTGAGAAATCTGTAGGCAGGTCAAGATGCAACAGTTAGAACTGGACGTGGAACAACAGACTGGTTCCAAACTGGGAAAGGAGTATGTCAAGGCTATATATTGTCACCCTGCTTATTTAACTTATATGCAGAGTACATCACACAAAATGCTGGGCTGGATGAAGCACAAGGGGGAGTCAAGATTGCCGGGAGAAATATCAATAACTTCAGATATGCAGATGACACAGAAAGCGAAGAACTTTGGCAGAAAGAACTTATGGCAGAAAGCAAAGAAGAAATAAAGAGCCTCTTGATGAAAGTGAAAGAGGAGAGTGAAAAATTTGACTTAAAACTCAACATTCAGAAAACTAAGATCATGGCATCTGGTCCCATCACTTCATGGCAAATAGATGGGGAAACAATGGAAACAGTGACAGACTTTATTTTGGGGGGCTCCAAAATCACTGCAGATGGTGACTGCAGCCATGAAATTAAAAGATGCTTGCTCCTTGGAAGAAAAGCTATGACCAACCTAGAAATCATATTAAAAAGCAGAGACATTACTTTGCTGACAAAGGTCCGTCTAGTCAAAGCTATGGTTTTTCCAATTGTCATGTATGGATGTAAGAGTTGGACTATAAAGAAAGCTGAACGCTAAAGAATTGATGCTTTTGAACTGTGGTGTTGGAGAAGACTCTTGAGAGTCCCTTGGACTGCAAGGAGATCCAACCAGTCAATGCTAAAGGAAATCAGTCCTGAATATTCATTGGAAGGACTGATGCTGAAGCTGAGACTCTAATACTCTGGCCACCTGATGCGAAGAGCTGACTCATTAGAAAAGAAAATGACGCTGGGAAATACTGAGGGCAGGAGGAGAAGGGGGCAACAGAGGATGAGATGCTTGGGTGGCATCACCAACTTGATGGGCATGCGTTAGAGCAAGCTCTGGAGGTTGGTGATGGACGGGGAAGCCTGGTGTGCTGCAGTCCATGGGGTCACTGAGAGTCGGACACGACTGACTGAACTGAGAGTAGAGTTCACATGGCAGCTAAAGGCCATCAAAACAAGACTCGGATAGAGAAGCCTTGTTCTTTGATAGAAAAAATTAGGATTGTATGCTTGAGACAAATAGAATGACAGGCCCCCAAGGACATCCACATCATGATTCCTGGCATATGTTATATGACACGGCAGCATTAAGGTTGCCAATCAGCTGACCTTAAAATGGACAGAGAATCCTGGATTATCTAGGTGTGCCCGTTTTAATCACCAGAGTCCTTAAAGGAGGAAGGAGGAGAGTCAGAGACATGACAAAATGAAAGGGATGAGTCCTTTCACCTTTCATGAGTCAGACACCACTGGCTCTGCAGACACAGGAGGGAGGGACCAGGAGCCATGGGATCCAGGCAGCCTCTAGAAGCTGAAAAAAACAACAGTATGGATTCTCCCCAAGGGTCTCCAGACAGAACACAGCCCTGATGACACATTGATTTTAGTCCAGCAAGACCCTTCTTGGACTCGGCCTCTAGAACTGAACATACTGTGCATAGTTTAAAGCCACTACGTTTTGGTAAAAGAAAATTAATACAGCGGGTATGTCAGTTCTCCCTAAAAGAATGTCTAATTTCCCTGCAACCCGAAGGTAAATCCCACAGAATTCTGATGGAGTTTGACAAAAATTAAAGTTCACCTAGAAGAATAAACATGTAAATAACTACAAAAAAGAAAATTAATGCGAGTCCTATCTGATAGTAAAGTGTAACACAGTAATAATTACACAGTAAGATACTAGACTAAAATGATCAGAATGCACAGAAAGACCAAAACATTCAAGTGAATGATGGGACTTGGTATGTGCAGAAGGTGCTGGTGGTGATGAACAGTCAGCAGTTGGTTTGGGGACAGCTGGCTGTCACTTGGAAACAAAACAAGCTTCCCTCCTGTGCCCCTTGCAGTAGAACGAGTGGATCAAAGATCTGAGTGTCTAATAATGTTGACACCATAAGCATAAAGGAAATCACAGCTAAACACATTTTTAATTTTGAGGAAGGGGAGGCCTTTTTGAGCATGGCATGAGAAACAGGAACTGTGAAGAAACGTACTGATAAACCTCATAACAAAAAAGAAACTGCCTTAAGAGGAACACGAGAGATTGCCTAGGCTTTTGCCTGCTCGCCCAGAAGCGTAGCGTGCAGGGACGGTGCACAGAAGGAATCCGAGTCGGGCCTCGGCTGCTCCTCCGTCTGCTGACTATGTGACCCTGAGAAGTTTCTTCACTTTTCCGTCAACCCATCTGTGAAATGGGGTTCAGAGTCCCTACCCCATAGGGCTGTTGAGCGGATTAGAGTTGATTAACATGACTTAGGATAGAATGTGTGAGTGTCTGTGACGTGAGTTATTATTATAAAGACATATCCTATCCTGCCAGGGAAAAATCAGCTGAGTCCTTTGTTATCCAAAGTCAGTGGAGGGTTACAAATCTTCAGTCATGAAGAAAAGCAACAGAGAAAGACTGTGGCAAAGGAACAGGATGGACACTTTAGGAAATGAGATGAGGAAAGGAAACGGGATTTCTCTGGTGGCCCAGCGGCTAGGACTCCGAGCCCCCAGCCCCAGGGCCCCAGGCTCAATCCCTGGTCAGGGTACTAGATCCCATAGGTCACAATGAAGACATGGTACAGTCAAACAGATATTTAAAAGAAAAAAACTTAAGGGGAAAAAAGAACACTGATATCTTCAAGATAGTACTGTATCTATGGAAATAAGAAAAGGACACTATAAGGATAACAAAAGACCAAAAATCTCTTGAAAATTAAGACTTAAAATTCTTAAAATTCTTAAACTTAAAACAAAACAACAGGAGGCAAAAAAGACAAAGTGAAAGAACTTTCTCCAGATCTGGAGTGTAGAGACAGAGAGATGGACTGTAGGAGAGAAAAAGGTAAGAAGCACGGAGCACAAACCCAAGAGGACCAGGAGCCACATACAGAGAAAGCAAGGGGAGATTTTTTTAAAACCTGAGGTTAAAAAGAAAAGAATTTCATGCACTTAAGCAGGACATGGTTTTTTCATTGGAAGGTGCCAACAGTTGCCCAGCACAGTGCATGAAGAAAAGACTCACCCCGAGGCTGTCCCCCTGTTTAAAGAGAAGATCCTAACTTTAAACAGAAGATCCCTCTTCCAGAGGGAAAAAAATCTAGGTCAACTAGGAAGAAACAAAAATCATATTTTCTGCACACTTCTCATCAATTTTGCATGTTCAAAGACAATGGAGTTCTAGAAAGAAAAACTGTTTCGAAGTTAGATTTCTCTACCCAGCCATGTCAATCATGTGCCAGGGTAGAACATGACACCTTGAGACAAAAGAATTCAGAAAATTTACCTCTCCAATATACTTTCTCAGAATAAATGAAAGCAAAAATCAAGAAAGGACGTGGCTTGGGAATCAGGAAATGATGGTCCTAACCCAGGAAAGCAGCAACGGAAGTCCCAAGAAGACAGATATACAGGAGGCTCAGAGAGCAACCAGCCCGGTGTAGGAGAAAGCAGGGCTCCCAAGGAGGGCCCCGTGGAGAAAGGGACTCCGTGCAACTAACAGTTTGCCATAGAGGGGCTAGATAACCTTGATACCATAAAGACACGCAAGGGGGGAAAGGCAGCTGGAAACAACAGGAAAAATAAAGAGCTGTACGACAAAGAAATGGTCAAATAAGAAGCAAAGTAAAATATGCCATGATTTTAGGAAATGGGTAACGTCAAAAGAACCCATTTGATCTTGAGATTACGAAAATGCTCAGATGATATGAACAGTTTATAGAAAAGGAAATTTAATGACCAATAAATATCAGGGAAGAAGCTGGATTCTCACGAATAGGTTTTAATAAGGCACCTTGAAAGATGAGAAGCCTTTGTTCATAAGATCAACAGAGGGTGTGCACACACACACAGCGTGCGTCTTTGTGAGTCACCACAGCGCTTTTGGAGGTTGCTTTAGCAATGCTCATCTCCACGTAAATGTGCACTCCCAACTTTCAATTGAAATGGCTGGCTGCTGACACCCATGGATGGGCATCACCTCAGAGCTGGGAGGGAACTGGAGAGGCCTGCAGCCCACTCGACACATCCTGCTGGATTGAACCTGCGGGGCTGACGTCCAAACAGCCGGCAGCCCTGCCTCGCTCAGAGCACCCAGGACATGGGCCCCTCTGGTGGGCCAGAGGCACCCGCTGGATGGGACGCCCCTCTGGTGGGCCAGGAGCACCCGCTGGATGGGATGCAGGCCCGGCTGAACCCCTGGGCCTCCTATCTGACCTCTAATCCCCCCACACAGGCAAGAAGACAGAGACACTTTCAGGGGGTTGAACAACCAAAGACTCAGATCTCAGGGCTGAGCCAATGGACACCGAGACCCCACACTGTCCCTCCCCAGCTGGGCTCCCAGCATACCAAGGGCATCCTCCTTCCTCCAGGCAGGACACCAGGGATTGCCCTTTGGGAACTGACAGAGTAAGAGGCCCCACCAGGAGACACGTGGTCCAGAGCACACTGGCACATGCCTTTCTCAATTAAAGACATGTGTCCAAGAATAAAAGACATCTAAGGAAGGTCTCTAACACCAGAATCAGAGAGCAATCTAAAAAAGAGCATAAAACACTTGGAAGGAACAGAAGCAATGCCAGAGTAGAAGAGGCCACATTCTCAGACAAGAAAAACCCTGGTTTCCAGGTAACATGAAGAGGAGGCTGTAAAGAACCTGAAACATCAAAAGGAGTGCTCTGAAATTAAGAACATAAGCAGTAGTAATGCATTCAACAGAAAAATGCTGAGAAACTGGGACAAGGATGGAAGGAAAAAGCAAAGAAAATTGGGTGATCAATTCAGAAGATCCAATTTCCAAACAAAAAGAACTTCCCAGATGAGAAGAGAGGGAACCAAAGGAGGGGGCTATCAGACACATCAGAAAATCACTAAAACGGAAGGACCCGAGGCTCCAGGCCCAAGGAGCATGCAGTAATTTCTTTCCACTAGATCAGCATGGATTCTGCATACCTGGCCAGCGCAGGAGCTGAGGGCTATGGAGGGAGCCAGGGCAGGGCAGGAGCACAGGGAGCAAGGCAAGAGCAGGGTCTGAGGGACCAGGGCTCTGGGTCCAGTGAGATTTAGGGGCCAGGAGAAGGGCAGAGGTCAGCGGCCGGGGCGGCCGGGTATCGGTGGGGAGGCATGAGCTGGGGAGAACTGGAAACTGGGCACGGGATGACTTCTGAAAGGAACACGAGGGCATGTCTGTGTGATGTGGAAATCATCCAGCAGAGACAGAAACGCTGGTATGTGGAGGAGAGAGGTGTGAATTACTGAAGTAATATTGAATGAAAAAGAACCACCGAGTCACACTGCTAAGAAGTTTCCAGAGATGGAGGATCATGAGAAGACGCAGAGAGTCGGAATCGCGTTGATGTCAGGTCTGTGGGACAGAACACTGGAAGCCAAAAAAGCAATCCCTCAAGTCTGAGGAAAACCACATCCAACTTAGCATCCTGTCTCTAGCAGGCGCTCAGTCAGGTCCTCAATAAAGAGGAACTCAGCACAGATGATCTCCCATGTACCCTTTCTCAGGAAGCCACTGGAAAACTCGGGGTCCCACCTGGCAGAGAGGGATGGGCTCACCAGGATGGGAAGGCCAAGCAGAGCCCGAAGACAGGGGGACAGATGCTGGGAAGGCCTCTCCAAGGACCTCACCACGTCTTTGAATGAACTGGGAGAGGTTTTCTGTTTTTAAAGTTCCGCTAGACAGTCTGGAGTTAATGAGTCTGAGCAAACTCCAGGAGGTGGTGAAGGAGGGAGGCTGGCACACTGCAGGCCATGCAGTCGCACAGTCGGACATGACAGCGACTGAACAACAACAACAATGCAACTTACAAATTTGAGCAAACAGAGAGAACACATGGAGCAAGTATTTTCTTCCGAAAAGATAAGAAAATGTGAAAAAAAAAAAAAGAAAATGTCTGTGGATTGAATCAAAAAGGTTAACTTCACTAATTTGGACGGTGAGGGGAAGTGTGTGCATGTGCCTGGTATATGAGATGCCCACTGCCACTTTACTTACAAAGCTCAAAACTGGAATTAACCCAAATGTCCACCAACTGAAGTGCTTAAGTAAATTCAAAGACATCTCTCAAAGGAATGCTCATGTATGGTTTTAAAAACAAAGCCTCACCACCCTTGCAGCCATGGAAGATATCTATTGTATGTTTTCAGGGTAAGGCAGAGAGGATAACTTACATGGGAAAACACTTATGTCATTAGGTATATCTGGGACTTCCCTGGTGGCCCAGTGGTTGAGAATCTGCCTGCCAATGCAAGGGACACAGTTTCAATCCCTGGTCCAGGAAGATTCCACATGCCGCCACAGGGCAACGAAGCTGGTGCACCGCAACTACTGAAGCCAGCAGCTCTAGCGCCCGCGAGACACAAGTACTAAAGCCCGTGTGCCTGGAGCCCACCCTTTGCAACAGGAGCCACGGCAAGGAGAAGCCCTCATACCGCAACTAGAGAGTAGCCCCAGATCATCACATGTGCACAGCAACAAAGACACAGCACAGCCAAAACAAGTACATAAAAATTTTAAAATAGGTGTATCTGTGTGTACTTAAATGTGTAAAAATATCTGGGGAGATGGGACATGAACTGGACAGTTGGGGGTTGACTGTGTGCTTCCTTCACATATTTCTGTATTAGGTTTCCACGTGTTCTGAGCATGATTTATTTTAAAACTTAAAAAGAATATGTGTTTCCATTTTCAAGGTGGGGATTAATAAGTTAGAGGGAGGCATGTGAGAGCCAGTGGCCCCTACCTGCCCAGGATGAAGGCGATGTAGATAAGGGAGGAGAAGTGAGCAAAAAACTGCAGAGTGAAGAACTTGATAGTGAACTTGCTCTCTCGCTCTGAGAAGGTCCTGGGTTTCTCTGGAATGAGATGTGGGGCCATCCTTCCCCCATCTCTCACCCCAGTGACAACCCACGCCCAGCCTGTCCATATCCTGAAAACTCAGGGTCACCTGGGACCCTCACCTGTCCCCTAGGCAGGATGCCCTGGCCTCTCATGGGCCCCACTTCCCCACCCCAGGGTTCCAAGACCCCCACCCTGAATCCTCCCCCCGAGAAGCCCTCCTCTCACCAAAGTCACAAAGCTTCAGGGCCACATATTTGTTGATCTGCAGGAGGGGAGACAGGGCTCACCTTGGACCTGGGCAGAGCCCCACCCTGCCCCTGCACCCTCCTCTGCCCCGACCCTTACCTTGGTCATGATGAGGATGATCACATAGTGAACCAGGGCCCCGCTCACCACCACAGCTGTGGTCACCTGCTCCCCCAGGAAGGGCAAGGCCAAGTTGAAGAGGGCAGCAGCTAGGACTCGGTAGACCACCAGAACGTGGGCCATGCCGATCATAAGGCAGATCTGGGGTGGAGGCAGGATAGGCGGGGCTCAGGGGGCTGCCCCAGCTGCTCTCCAGCCCAGCCGCAGGAGCCCCGGAGTACCATCAAGAGAGACAGGAGGAGGATGATGGTGCTCCGCAGGTAGGAGTGCTGGTGCAGCCGCGGCTGGTAGTCCGGGCAGTTGATGAGCCCCAGAGCCATTTCCTCCTGTGGAAGGCACCCAACTCTTCTCAGACGCCGGAATTGCCCCTGATGCGGAACCCCGTGGGGCCTGGGACCCCCCCAGACACAAGAACCCCTTGGACACTGAACCCCCTTGGACACTGAACCCACTCAGACACAGAACCCCTGAGACATGGAACCCCTTGGACACGGAACACCTTCGGACACAGGAAACTTTAAGCGGGAAGCCCTTGGACATGGAACCCCCTAAGACACGGAACCCCTCGGACACGGGACCCCCTCAGACACGGAACCCCTCGGACATGGAACCCCCCTGGACACTGAACCCACTCAGACACAGAACCCCTGGGACGTGGAACCCCTCGGACACGGAACACCTTCGGACACAGGAAACTTTAAGCAGGAAGCCCTTGGACACGGAACCCCCTCAGACATGGAACCCCTCGGACACGGAACCCCTCGGACACGGGAACCTTAGACAGGAAGCCCTTGGACACGGAACCCCTCAGACACGGAACCCCCTCAGACACAGAACCCCTCGGACACGGGAACCTTAGACAGGAACCCCTCGGACACGGAACCCCTCGGACACGGGAACCTTAGACAGGAAGCCCTTGGACACGGGAACCCCTCAGACACGGGAACCTTAGACAGGAAGCCCTTGGACAAGGGAACCCCTCAGACACGGGAACCCCTCAGACACAGGAACCTTAGACAGGAAGCCCTTGGACACGGGAACCCCTCAGACACAGGAACCTTAGACAGGAAGCCCTTGGACACGGAACCCCCTCAGACACGGGAACCTTAGACAGGAAGCCCTTGGACACGGAACCCCCTCAGACACGGGAACCTTAGACAGGAAGCCCTTGGACACGGAACCCCCTCAGACACGGGAACCTTAGACAGAAAGTCCTTGGACATAGAAACCCCTCAGGCACAGGAACCTTCGACGGGAAGCTCTTGGACACGGAACCCCTCGGACTCAGCAGCCTCTCAGGGCCCAAGCTGGCCGCCGGCTCAGCCTCACCTGGTCCTCATCCCAGCCGTACAGCTCCCACCGCAGGACCACTCGGGCTCGCTCCCGCTTCCACATCTCCAGGAACACGGTGGCTGCGGCGGAAAGCAGAGGCCTCAGGGGCGTGTCCCCCTCTACGCGTGGTGCTCTGCGGGCCCCAGGTCCGCGCAACTCACCCCACAGCGCCATGAAGATGGCGAACAGCACGGTGCCCTCGTTGTCGAAGAGGTGGGTGAGCTAGAGGGAGGGGCACGTGGGGCTGGGGCAGCCTTCCCCCAACCCCCGGCCCAGGCCTCCCCTTCCCTGGGAGGACCTGCTGGGCCCGCCTCCCCAGGGCCAGTGGCCGCAGGGCCCCCCGCCCCGTGCAAACCTTGGCATAGGCGCAGGTGTCTGAGAGCCGCTGGAACCTGCGGTTATGGTCGCCACGAGGGCACATGTAGATGTCGTGGGCCTTGCAGATCTCCTTGCTGAGGGCGCAGGGACCGGGTTGGCGGCAGCACTTTCCTGTGGACCCTGGAGGGACCCCACCCCGGACCGCCCCTTCCCTGACTCCGCCCACCCTCAGCTTCAGTCCCGCCCCTTCCCTGGCCTCGCCCACCTGATCTGGCTGGCTTCGAATCGGGAAAACCCGCTCAGGAAGACGATGAGGCCCACCACTGCGGCGGGTACCAGCATGTAGGTGTACCAGCCGAGCCAGGCGAAGTACAAGGCCACTTTCTCTCCAAAGTAGTCCCTGCGGGCACAGCGTCCCGTCAGGGCCACTCCCACCAGGGGTGACTGTCCACCGCCAACACCTGGGTGAATCCCGCCATGCTGGAGGCAAGGGTGTACTGAGGACATCTAAACGTGTGTCTAAATGGTTCGCCAGACAGCTGTTTGCTGGAGGCATGGGTGTATCTACAGAGGGGCAGCCTGCCTGCGGGGGCACGGGTGTGTCCGCGAGGGCAGTAGTACCTGATATCACTAATTGGCTGCCTTTGGAACATGCTTCTCCACCGGGCCCATTTCTTCTTTAGGTGTTCCTCCCCCTGGGCACAGGTGAGACACAGTGAGAGCTTCCTGCCTCAAGTCCTGCCCTCAGGGCCTCTCCCAGCCAGCCCACCCCTCACCTTGTGCAAGGGGAACCCGTCCTCAAAGACCCCATCCTTCACCAAATCCTGGAGCGTGTCTGGTGGTCACAGGGGTTCTCGGGTCAGAAGGGGTGGGGATGAGGGAGGACCCTGTCCCATTCTCCCCATGCTCGCCCCTCCTGGAGGGCTGCGGCATAGGCCGCCTGCCCATCCAGTCCTTACCACCCGTTGCCGTCTTGCTCTTCAGGACAAAGTTGACAATTCGGATTCTAGAACACAAGAGCTGGTTCAGAACGGTCCTCTGGCCGGGTTCCAGGCCCCTGTTCATCCTGACAGAGCCCCCAGACCACCAGCCAGGACTGCCTGACCAGAGCCAAGAATCCAGGACTCATGTGGGAGCGCACCTCCTCAAATCTTCCCAGGGTCCAGCTGCACCGTGGTTGCAGGGTGGGCCTCCCTCAGGGTGGTCTCTCTAGTCCCAGGGCCCCAGTGCTCAGCCCTACAATTGACCGTCCAGCTTCCTCCCGGATTCCCCACCTCCAATCAGACCTCCCACCTGGAGCCCCAACATGTTCAGAGCACACCCTTTAAATCCCCCTTACACCCCTGTGAGCCATTTTGCCTACAGGAGACTGAAACTCAGAGAGGGTGAGTAACGCAGAGAGTCTGGCCAAGGCCACACAGCCAGGAGGTGGCACATCCAGGCATCTGACTAGACAGTCCTGCTCCTCTGGAACACCTCCTATGAGGCACAGCCTCCCGAGTATCTCAGGGCCTCCCACAGCCTACTCCTTCCAGGCCCCAGCATGGCACCTCTGCTCATGTGTTCTCCCAAACCAGCCAGTCCTCCTGGACTCACAGGAAGCCCCCCTCCATTGCCTCATATCCCAACTCCCAGAGTGTTCTTTACTGACCTCCCTGACTGGCCCCAGGTGAGTTCAGAGGGCTGGGGCTAGGACCAGGAAGGTGTTGGAGGTGGGGTGTGGGGAGGGCAGGTGGACTGGCTTGGTGGGCTAAAGGATCAGAGTGGGGAGAAGCAGGTTCCTGGAGAGAGAGGGGAGGTGTGGGGTGCCTGGGAGGCAGGGACAGATGTCCAGAGAAGGGCATCCAGTCTGGAGAAAAGAAGTGGAGACTGAATCCAGGGAGACGACCTCAGAACCCAGGAGGGAGGCTGGGAGAGTCCTCCCGGCCTCTGCAAATGCCACCTGCCCTTTAAGGCTGGCTTCTGGTCTGCATCTGGGGACATGGTCACACATTTTCCAGTATTACAGACGTGGTAAGTAAGGCACAGACGGTTGCTCCCTGTGGCCTCTGCCCCGGGACCACACCTAGGAGCCTTGCTGCCTGTCTGGACCACCGTGTAGGTGGGCCAGGGTCCTCCTGGCCCCGCTGTGGGCCAGCCTCTCACCTGTTGGTGGCTCGGATGGAAGTTGGCCTGGACAGCTCCCCTCTGGGGACAGTATCCTCGGGCTCCATAAGTCTCTGGTACCGGTCAAGGATCCTGTTGTCAGCTCGGATCCCAAAGAACTCCTTCTCCTGGTCCTCCATTGCCTGAGGGTTGGGGGCAGCATGGGACCCTCTGCTCCACCTTGGGACCCTCCCCCTTCATCCAAGGCCAACAGTCTGTCCCCTCCAACTCTGGCATGGGGCCACAGGCAACCTCCCCAGACTCCTTCCTGGGACCCACCCAGCCCCCTGTGACCGCTGCACCCAGGCAGGGCCCTCAGCCCACCCACCTTGTAGTGAAAGCCTTGGTTCTCAAGCTCTTCCAGGAACTGCCGCTGCCGCTGGACCTGCCCGGGGTTTCTCTGGGCGCGACGATCGACCACAAGGACATAGTCCCACAACTCGGGGGCCTTGGTCTAGAGGAGAGAGGCGTGGGGCCCGGGGCTGGCAACCAGGGCGGGCCGGGCGCAGGGCACGGGGAGCGGGACCACGCCCAGGAGGAGCTCTCGCAGGCTCACCTCACAAGCATTCATGTCCACCAGCGGGAGGCTGCCACCTTCAGTCGGCGCCAACATCTGGAGACTCTCTTCTCCCTGAGGGTGAAGCGCAGACGGAACAGAGGCTGGCACTCGCTGCCACAGTAGAGCGCCTCCCAGGCTGGGTGCTCAGCACCAAAGCGGTGGTTTCCGGTGGGGCTACGTGCACACTGAGGCTGCAGCACAAGTGGCTGGCAAAGGTTCGTTTGGAAACACGCAAAGAGCACCCAAAATTCATGAGAAAAGGCAGGCAGCCCTGTGAAAATGGGCCAAAGATGCAAATGGACACCACAGAAGAGGAGCACCCAGAAGGTGAAAACATGGAACTCCAACGTGGAAACCGTTTGGAAAATGCAGGCTAGGTGACCAAGCAGGCACCACCATCCACCCATTTGGTAGCAAACATTTTACGGTCAGACAGTGTTAACCGTCCAGGTGTGGGAGCTCCCAGCAGCCCAGTGATTAGGACTCGGCACTCTCACTGCCGGGGCCTGGGTTCAGTCCCTGGTCAGGTAACTGAGACCCTGCAAGCACACTGTGACCAAAAAAGAAAACCTGGGTGATTTATGAAAATATTGAATGTAGCATAATACTGCAAATCACCTGAAAATCATATAATATTGAAAATAAGCTACATATGTTAAAACAAAAAGCCCAGGCGGCTCAGCAGGACCCCGTGTGCTGCTGTTGTGCGCGCCTTGGAGCCTGAGTTTGAGGAACCTCCCAGACCCGTCCCCTGCCCCAGCCACCTCTGGAGTCAGACAAAGGTGCTAGCATACTTCATACCGAAATGGTGAAAATAATCCAAACGCATCAGTTTTCTTCCCAGGTCGCGCTAGTGGTAAAGAATCTACCTGCCAATGCAGGAGACACAGGGGACGTGGTTTGATTCCTGGGTTAGGAAGACCCGTTAGAAAAGGAAATGGAAACCCACTCCAGTATTCTCGTCTGGGAAATCCCATGGACAGAGGCGCCTAGGGGGCTACAGTCCATGGGGTCGAAAAGAGTCAGACATGACTGAGCACCTAACACTCTGTCCACTTCTTATCGGCAGGCAGAGGGATGAAAACGTGGTGCTGTGACCACGTCAAGAGGAGCATGAGGGCCTCGGCCGCACGTGCGGCGCTGGGGGTCAGCGTGACGCCGCACTGAGCTTCCAAAAAGTACGTCCAGGGAGGCTGTGCCGGAGCGACTGGCACAGGGCAGACAGCCAGGACAGACAGAGGGACACAGGGAGTGGGTGGTGCACAGCTTCTGAGTCTCCCTGACTCTGTGAACTGTGACGGCAGCACTAATAAACGCCATGGAGCCTTCCCTGGTGGCTCAGCTGGTAATCCTCCTGCAGTGCAGGAAGCCTAGGTTCAACCCCTGGGTCAGGAAGATCCCCTGGAGAAGAGTATGGCTACCCACTCCAGTATTCGTGCCTGGGAAATCCATGGACAGAGGAGCCTGGTGGGCTATAGTCCATGGGGTGGCAAAGAGTCAGACACTACCAAGTGACTAACACTTTCACTTTCACTAACAAACAACGCATGTCCTTCTATGCTCCTCCCTCCGGGAGGTGAAATCCTCCCAGTTGAGGGTGGCCTGGACTCAGTGACTAACGAAGGAAGTATGAAACAGAAAACGAGTCACGTTACAGAGGAGAGACCTGGCAGAGGCGCCCAACCCAGGAGATGATGGTCCAGGTGATGGCATCAGTAGCACGTGGTCCCGAAAGCCCACAGTCCCATCTCAGCAGGAGGAGATGACAGAGGGACTTTCACCAGAGCCCCAGCGAGCACACCCTAGAGTCAGGTGGCCAAGGATGAGAGGGACAGAGAGACCGTCACAGACGGGAGGGACCGTGGAGACGAGGCGATGATGCTGTGAGGGGCCTGCATGACACACTCGGAAAAGCTGGTGACGTGAGTCCAGGCCGAGTCAGGCTCTTCACCTGCACCAGCGCCCCAGGCAACGGGCATGGCAGGCCCCTGCACTGTCTTTATGACACTTTAGGAAAACTTACAGATTTGCAAAAACTGCACAAGTAGGAGTCACAGGCTTCCCAAGTGGCACAGTGGTAAAGAACCTGCCTGCCAACACAGGAGACGTGGGCTCCATCCCTGGGTGGGGAGGATCCTCGGGAGTAGGAAATGACAGCCCGCTCCAGTACTCTTGCCTGGGAAACCCCATGGGCAGAGGAGCCCGGCGGGCTGCAATCCATGGGGCCGCACAGGGTCCGAGAGACTAAGCACACACAGGAGTGGGGGAGTGGAAAGTGCTGGGACTGGCATCCAGGTGGGAGGGGTGTCTTGAGGCCTCACTGATTTCCAAAGAGCAGACAGCAGGCTCAGATGGCTTGAGACAAAGTGACCCAGGGACCCTTCTCTGGAAGAGCCACTGGGCTGAAGGGAGTCGGGGACACAGGAGATGGGGGACCAGGGCAGACAGGCAGGCAGGTCATCAGGGGGAGCCCCAGGGCCGAGGCGGAGGAAAGACACCGCCTCCGGAGCCAAGAGTCCGCAGGTGCTGAGGCAGTATGCCCTCAGGCAAGAGCCTACCTCTCCCAGCCTTGGGGGGCTTGATGCAACGCGGGGAGCATCCTGCAGCCCAGGCAAAGGGCTGGCCAGGCCATGTGCCCAGTAAGAGGGCCCCCAGCCATGTCCCCGCCAGCAGCACCCCAGGGAGCACAGGGCCCGGAGGGACAGGAAGCCCGGGGTGAGGGCCTGGGGGCACTGAGAGCTGTGTCCGCTGGAGCCCCCTGCCTTCCTTGAAGGGCCTGGTGGCTCCCCACCCTACCGTGGGCCCGCCGCCAGCCCACCACCCACTAACTCCCCTGGGCGGCCCTGCCCAGCTCACAAGCCTGCACCCACCCCAACCCCTGTGCATCGCAGCCGCCTGGTGTTCTGCGTCCTGCCCCAGCCCCTGCCCTGCGGCTCCCCCCTCTGCTCCTTCTCCTCCCTGCATTCCTGCCTCCTCCAGAAAGCCTCACTGGACTGCTCCAGCCAGTCTGCCCTTGAGGGCTGCCAGAGAAAACAGAGGCCACCCATCACATTTGAATTTCAGATAAACAATAAATACCATTTAGTATAAGTATGTCCCAATTATTGCATGAGGTGGCCAAAGTATTGGAGTTTCAGCTTCAGCATCAGTCCTTCCAATGAACACCCAGGACTGATCTCCTTTAGGATGGACTGGTTGGATCTCCCTGAAGTTCAAGGAACTCTCAAGAGTCTTCTCCAACACCACAGTTCAAAAGCATCAGTTCTTCGGCGCTCAGCTTTCTTCACAGTCCAACTCTCACATCGATACATGACCACTGGAAAAACCATAGCCTTGACTAGACGGACCTTTGTTGGCAAAGTAATGTCTCTGCTTTTTAATATTAAGTAGTTTGGCCACCTCATGCGAAGAGTTGACTCATTGGAAAAGACCCTGATGCTGGGAGGGATTGGGGGCAGGAGGAGAAGGGGATGACAGAAGTTGAGATGACTGGATGGCATCACCAACTCGATGGACATGAGTTTGAGTAAAGTCCGGGAATTGGTGATGGACAGGGAGGCCTGGCCTGCTGTGATTCATGGGGTCGCAAAGAGTAACTGAACTGAACTGAATTATTGCATGGGACATAACTTATACTAAAAAAAAATACTGTTGTTTGTGTGAAATTCAGCTTACTGGGGAACTGTTTTTTATTTCATTTCACTAAATCCGGAACCCGATCCCAATTCCGCACCCCCAGACATCCCCGGAACTACTGGGTCCAGAACCAGGCCTGGGTCTGTCCCCTCTCTTCCCCTCTGTCTCAGCCACAAAACGGCCGGCTCCGGGGCACGGGATCCCAGGGTCTTCATGCCCCGGTGCAGCCCCCGCCCAGCCCTCTGCCCTGCTTTCCTGGGGAGTGCTCACCCCCCTCCGCAGGCCTGCCCCCTTCTGCCCCAGCTCCAACCCTGCACCGCCCCAGCCCTCGAACCACAGTGGGGTCGGGGCCAGAGGAGAAAGCCGCCTCCTCAGGCTGGTCGGTGTGTGTGCGTGCACTCTGGGCTGAGGCGCCTGTCTCAGAGAAGGGAGTTAGGTCTCACGTAGATGGGGCCAAGGGACGTTGGTGCATTTCTGTCACCAGCAGCCAGTCCTGTGACTTGCCCACTATAGGAGCGAAGCGTCATGTCGGACAAATTTGTGAGCGAAATGGGTCCTCACGTACTCAACCTCAGACCCAGGAGGAGGGCTATGCTTGCTGGGCTGGGACCCCCTGCGGGATGACACTTTGAGGGTCCCTCGCTGACAGGCACACAGAGGCTGAAAAGAGAGGCTCCCTCACATGAGCCTGAGGCTGAAGAGTGGGCAGAACCAGCAGCAGGAAGACGGGGCCCCAGCTGGGGAGACGGGACAGGGCGGGGAGATGGAGCTCCAGGGTGGAGAGATGGGGTCCCCAGGGTGGGAAGATGGGGTACCTGGGTAAGGAGTTGGGGTACCTGGGGCGGGGAGATGGGACTCCAGGGCGGGAAGATGGGGTACCTGGGTGGGGAGATGGGGTACCTGGGCGGGGAGATGGGACTCCAGGGTGGGAAGATGGGGTCCCTGGGTGGGGAGATGGGGTCCCTGGACGGGGAAGGATGGCACAGGGATCCAGACAGGAGGAGGGAGCCTGCAGAGGACCACCCCCAAGGGGCTCCCAAAGGCAGCAGCGGGAGGCTAACCCTCAAGTGGCCCCAGAAATGAGGCTGGGGCAGCCCTTTCCCCAGAGACATCACATGACTTTGGGGCGTTACCCAGAGCCTCTTGGAAAAGGGGAGTCAGCCTTCCCTGGAGGCTGCTGTGTGACCTGGACCAGAGGGGTCCCACGGGCACTGACCCCATCACTGGAACACAGCCCCGCCCCAGTCATGACCTGGTTGCCCCTGGGAAAGGGCCGGCAGGCGCAGGAGCAGCCAGGCCTAAGTCCCCGGCCCCGTCCTGTCGAGCCACCCTGCGCTTGACATCCGAAAGGCTGGTGCCCACACACTCTGTGCCCAGTGGCCCAATCCCCAGGCCACCTGCCTGGGCCCCAGGCTCCAGGCTCAGGCTGTCCATTTCCCACCTGTCCTCCAGGGACAGAGGCCTTCACAGATTAGAACCAGTTTCCCCTGAAGTCACCTCCACCTCCAGCCAACCAGACTGCTTGGTGCACCTGAGGCGAGGTATCTGGGGGTTCCCTATCCACCAGGCCCCACCTCCAGGAAGCCACATGTGCACATCAGGCTCCCAGACCCCAGGCAGGATCAGAGGCTCCCCGGGCCCACTTGGCCTTGGGGGTCCCAGCCCCACCTCATGCAGGTCCCCAGCAAGTCTGTGCACAGGGACGCGGAGGTTCCAGGCACCCGGCTCTCCGTTGTCTTCCCGTGGGGCTTCCAGCCCCCACTCCCAGCAGGCCACGCACCCAGTGGGCCAGGCCCAGGACTGAGTCCAGGCCAGAGCCCCAGTCAACCCACCCGTTGCCTGCTTGACTTCTTTAGAGGCTGCAGCTCCCCGGGAGACCAGACCAGGCGTGGGGGCCAGGCCTGGGGATCCACACTCTGTCTGTCCATCCCCAGGCAGCTTGCAGGTCCCCGGCAGGGCACGGGAACTGCTGTGTGGGTGTACCTGCCCTTCAGCTCCCAACCCTGCTGGCCGGGCAGTCTACCTGGAGCACACGACGTCATCCCAGCCGCACGCAGCAGGCAGGGGCCTCCCCCCACCATCTATGGCCCGCCTCAGGCTTAGGGTCACACCACAGCCCAGCCAGCACTCCACGCCCCCCCTGGCTAGGCCCTACCAGCCTAAGCGGTGGTTTCATCACCCAGCAAAGGGACCGCCCACCCCTACCACCAAGCTCAGATATGGAGAGGCCTGCCCACACGTGCGATCCCACACCTGGCTCTGTTTCCTCATCTTTGGGGGGGCCACACCATGAAACATGTAGGATCTCATCTCTCTGACCAGGGATCAAACCAGTGCACCCTGCATAGGAGCGCCAAGTCCTAACCACTGGGCCGCCAGGGACATCCCAGCTTCCTTGTCTTCCAAGTCCTGTCATCTGCCTCCCTCCTCCCTTGGGCCCCTCCTTCCCACCATGCCTCCCACTGTCCACCCATCTCATCTGTCAGATCACATGTCTGTCTGGTCATCCACCCCAGATGCAGCCTGCTGTGTGTGCAGCCCTCACGGGCAGTGCCCGGCGTGAGTGGACATGGGCCTGGAGAGGCAGGTACCTGCTTGGCAGGGGAGGGAGCCCAGAGCTTGCCCTGGTAGTGTGGACAGGGACTGAGGGGCAGCACACAGCTGGTGTCCAAGGACCTGCTAGAGACTCAGGGGCTTGACAGAATAGAGCCTCAGTACTCAGCACTTCAGCTCTGCAGAAGTATAAAGAGCAAGAGGGCAGCTGCCAGGAGGTGAGACCGGGAGTTAGCAGAAGCTAGACCAGAGGGCTTCTGAACTGTGGTGTGTAGAAGGCTCCTGAGAGTCCCTTGGACTGCAAGGAAATCCAACCAGTCGATCCTAAAGGAAAGCAGTCCTGAATATTCATTGGAAGGACTGATGCTGAAGCTGAAATTCCAATCCTTTGGCCACCTGATGCGAAGAACTGACTCATTGGAAACGACCTTGATGTTGGGAAAAACTGAAGGTGGGAGGGGAAGGGGACAACATAAGTTGAGATGGTTGGATGGCATCACCGACTCAATGGACGAGTTTGAGCAAGCTCCGGGAGTTGGTGATGGACAGGGAGGTCTGGCGTGCTGCAGTCCATGGGGTCCCAGAGAGTCGTACACGACTGAGCGGCTGAACTGAACTGAGACTAGAGGGCTGCTAGGACTGCAGCTGGGGCTGGAGGTGGGGGGTGGGGAATGGAAGGGACCTGGGCAGGGGAAGGGGATGCTCAGATCCGGCTGCGGCGGAGCTCTCTGCTGTCTGTGTCCGTCTTTGCCCAAAGGCTGATATTCTTGCCTTAGCTCCCTCCCCACCTCTCAACCCCATCCCTTGGCCCCCTCCCCCAGGCCCCAGGCCTCCGTCCTCCCCCCAGCCTCAGGCTCCCTTCCCCGCTGGCCTGGGAGCCAGCCTCAGCTGCCAAGGCTCCACAGCCCTGAAACGGCGGAGGCGGAGTGCGAGGCCGCCTGCCTGGCCCACACCTGGGAGCGCCCGAAGGAGGGCGACGGGGAGGCGGGTTTCGCTCTCCACCTCAGCTCGGGTCTCCTCCCGGCCACCCACGGCTGCCGGGGCCTCGAGACCTCGTGCCTGGCGGAGGAAAGAGAGGAAGTCCTCCCGGACGCTCTCCTGCTCTGCCCCCAGAATCCGAATCCAGCAGCCTTCAGAGACTCCCACCCCGGCCCGGCAGAACCCCCAGGGAGCGGAGGGCCCTGCCGGCCACCCCGGGTCTCCCCAGCCCCCTGCCCGCCGGACAGAGCCGCGGGGTCTGGGGTCAGGCTCCCGCCACAGCGCCCGGGGGTGGCCACGCCCCCCAACTGACACTGCTCTCCCCCGGGCTCCCGGCGCAGGAAGCAAGCCCTTTCTTCCGTCCTGCCCCAATCCCGAGGGGGCGGGGGGACACGACCCCCCTAACAACGCCCTCCCGCTCGGCAGGAGACGGGGGCGGGGGCGGGGGCGGGCGGGGCGGGAGGCAGGGCCCTGCCTGCCCCGGCGGGCGTGGCCTCGCGCGGACTCACCCGCATGTTGGTGGTCGCGCAGGGCTCAGGGTCGGAGGGTCCTGAGGTGAGGCAGCCGCAGCGCCGCAGGGAACCCGAGTGCGACTTGGAGATCGCCCAGCTGTCCTACCTGACTTCCGCGTGGGACTCAGCCCTCCCTCCTCCCCGCCCTCCTCGTCCTCCGGTCCCTGTGCCGCCGTCGGGAGCGGCCCTTGCCCGCCGGCCGGAAGGCACACCCCTCCCGCAAGCCCCGGGGCCAGGCACACCTGCCGGGGCCTCGGGCGCCCACCGGAGGCTCTCCGCTCCCCCGCAGAGGGGCGTTCCCCCGCCGTGCGGGGTCGAGTCCTTTAGGGGGAGGGGAGCGCCCCCCGTAACCCTGCTCCCTGCCCCTTCACTCTCCCGGACGCCTGAACGCACCGGCCCCGGGCCCCTCTGGGGCACCAAGTCTCCCCCCCTTTCAAGTCTCGGGTCGAGTCCCTTGGAGGAGAAACCGGGGGCCGGAGGATGGAAGATGAGACACAGACCCCAGAAAGGAAAGGTCTGCTCCACCCAGAATCCCTGCTCTGCACACCCCAGCTCAGGGAGGGGGAGCCAGGGGGTCGTGGGGCCGCTTGCTGGCCGGAGGAGGTGGGGGTCGGGAATGAAAGACTGAGAGGAGCCATGCCCCCACCGTGGGCAGGGCAGCAGCTGGAGGCGGCTCTGGGCCACCTGAGGGAGACTGTCCTGGGGGACGGTGGACTGCCCCCAGCAGGGAGGGAGGGTGTCCAAGCTCTGAGAGCTGCAGGGCGCAGAGCAGGGCGCCTGGAGAGAGGGCCGGCAGACACGCTGAGCAGCATGGGGGCAGCTGGAGGGGAGCGGGGGCCGCTTTGGGGGTCAGGACGTTGGAGTACCACATTGTGCAGCCCAGGCAACCCATGCAGCAGACCCGTGGATGACAGCTCCTTAGGTTCCCCCGGGGATAACCTGGCCCCCACCACGTGTCTGTTTGGGGGACCCCATGGCAGACTGTGACGGCAGCAGGGACTGAACCCTGAGGAGGCAAAGGCAAGAGAGGGAATTGGCAGCACAAAACTGTGGCACTCTGAAGGAGGAGTCTGGACAAATGTATTAAGATTCGTGTGACAGAAGACCCCACCTAGTAGCGGCTTAAACAAGCCTGTATACCTCTCTCTCCCATAAATGACATCTGGAAGCAGTCCTACCAGGACCGGTTAGTAACTTGTTGGTTACCGAAAGCACATGGATCCACCACATGGTTCAAAATGGCTGCTCAAGCCCCAGGCATCAGGACATTGCAGACAGCAAGGAGAGCAAAGGATGAAGGAGGGGTGTCCCAGGCCGCCTGTGGTTAGTCACCTGGCTAGTCACCTCACCACACCTTACTGCACGGAAGCCTGGGAAGTGTGCTCACTTTTCCTAAGGAGGAAGGTCGTTGTTGTTTAGTCACTAAGTCGTGTCCAACTCTTTGTGACCCCGTGAACTGTAGCCCACCAGGCTCCTTGTCTGTGGGATTTCCCATGCAAGAATACTGCAAGGGGATTTTTCTTCTCCAGGGGATTTCCCCGACCCAGGGATGGAACCGTCATCTCCTGCATCGGCAGACAGAGTCTTTACGGCTGAGCCACCGGGAAAGCCCAAGGAGAAAGGTGGAAGGACCCTAGCCCTAACTCAGCCTGCTCAGGACAGTCAGCACACACTAGTTCCCCACTCAGACGCCACTGCACGCGTCAGCAGCTGCCCTCTCTCTCACTGGTTTCACTTGGCATCCCCAGTTTCAACACTCCAGAAACGCTGCCTCTTATTCCTGCCTTCCAAGGGTCTGAGAGAAACGACACTTGTATCCAGTCCAGCCGCTTTGCATCTCAGGCACCTCCACCTGTGGCCCCTGGGGCAAAGGCAGCACCTCCTACCGGGGGAGGGCCCGGAGGGGGAGCCTTGGCCTCGCCCGCAGAGGACGTTCCTCCCAGTGAAGGACAGAGGGTAAAGGCGGATCTCATCAGTCCTACCTGGAGAGGAAACTGGCGTGGCTCTTCAGAAAGCAGTCCAGCAATAAGGATCTAAAGCCTAATAAAGTGTTTATACTTTGGTCCATTAATTAACTTTTTCTAAACTATCCTAACAAAAATCCAAAATATTGAAAATATGTATTAGTATGTCCTTTGAGCAAAAAGTATAAACCACTTGAAAGTGAAAGTCACTCAGTCGTCTGACTCTATGCAACCCCATGGACTATACAGTTTATGGAATTCTCCAGCCCAGAATACTGGAGTGGGTAGCCTTTCCCTTCTCCAGGGGATCTTCCCAACCCAGGGGTCAAACCCAGGTCTCCTGCACTGCGGGCGGATCTTTACCAGCTGAGCCAGCACGGCAGCATGGGAACCCTTCGGATGATCAATAGTATGGAACAGGCTTCCCTGGTGGTCCAGTGGCTAAAACTCTGCACTCTGGTTGCAAGGGGCCTGGGTTCAATCCCTGGTCAGGGAACTCGACCCCACACGTCAAAACTAAAAATCCTCCATGCCACAGCAAAGATAAAAGATCCTGCATGCCCCAACTAAGGCCTGGCGCAGCCAAATAGTAGGATAAATAATAAACACATTAAAAAGTAGAGCAGTATCTGAGCAAACATGGTGTATTCACATGCTGCTTAAGCAGCCATTAAAAATGGTGCTTTCAAACCAAAGAGTTTATGACAACATAAGAAAATGCTTCTCTTATACTGTTAAGTGAAAAAGACATAAGTGTAAACATGTATACATTTTTATCTCAACTAAGTTAAAATGCAGTAAAATAAGAGAAGAGTGGGTTTAATACTTGATATTTATATTTTCCTGTGGATGGAAGAGGGACTGCCCAGGCGGCAGAGTGGTAAAGAATCCCCCTAGATTTGCAGGTTCAATCCCTGAGTTGGGGAGAACCCCTGAAGGAAGAAAGGGGTGTCCTCACCTGGAAAACCCCATGGACAGAGGAGCCTGGTGGGCCACAGTCCATGGGGTCGCAGAGTCGGACAGGACTGAACGGTTGCACAAACGAGCACGTGGACAGTGCAACTGTGGGTGGTGGAATTGTGCTTCTCTGCAGAGAATTTGCTTCCTCCGACATACGTCACTTTCATAAGCTTTATATTACTAAATGTACTTTGTTGTGTGAAAGTCTATGATTATGAACTTTGTTCAGACTCAGCCCCACTCTTGGCCTTGGTTTTGAGTACGTCCTGTGAAGAAGCCACACCCTGGCTGTCGGCAGGGCTGACTCTGCCCTGTCTTGGGCAGAGAACCTTAGTCGAGGTCCACATGGGCCTCTTACTCTTCTCTGCGAACCCTGGACCCTGCCTCCTCCCAGTCCAGAAAATGCTGTCCACCTGCTGTCTTCCCTCCCAGGGCCAAAGTGCAGCAGGAGGCAGATCCCCCGTTGCCGCTGTCTCTAGGGCGCCGCCCCACGGAAGAGCTCCGAGTGACAAGTCAGCCAAGAGAGCCCCAGGCTCATTCCCACCCGGGCAACCTGGTCTGCCAGCCCCAGTGGCCTGGACCCTGGGCATGGACAAAGATCCTCTGGGATCTTGCTGGGGACCCTCCCCAGAGGCAGCACGGTGGGACCCTCCTGAGTCCTCCCTAGCCTAGTCCCACCCACACACACACACCAAACTCCCAACGCCCCCTCCTCTAGTCTGCGGGAAGCAGGCGCTTGCCTCCCACACCAGGATGGCAGTGGACTGGGGACCCAGGCCGCTGATGTCCTCACCCAAGGGATACTTCTGTCTCCCTGCTGCTCCCCACCAATGCCTCTGGGACTTTTACATTTCCACTAGTTCCTGTTTTCTTTCCGAGGGAGCAGGAGCCCTTCTTGGTTGAGATTAGAGACCTGCTGTTTCAAGTCCCTCCATCAACCCTGAGAAAACTCCCCAGTGGCAGCTGTGCATGGAGGGGATACAGTTCTCCGTAACTCTTCATCTCTACAGTTTGTTGTGATCCACACAGTCAAAGACTTTGGCACACTCAGTGAAGCAGTACGTGAACTGTGAACTTCCAGATGTTCAAGCTGGATTTAGAAAGGGCAGAGGAACCAGAGACCAAATTGCCAACATCCACTGGATCATCGAAAAAGCAAGAGAGTTCCAGAAAAAAATCTACTTCTGCTCTATTGACTACGCCAAAGCCTTTGACTGTGTGGATCACAACAAACTGTGGAAAATTCTTCAAGAGATGGGAATACCAGACCACCTTACCCGCCTACTGAGAAATCTGTATGCAGGTCAAGAAGCAACAGTTAGAACTGAAGTCGAGCAATGGACTGGTTCCAAATTGGGAAAGAAGTACATCAAGGCTGTATATTGTCACCCTGCTTATTTAACTTAAATTCAGAGTACATCATGCAAAATGCCAGGCTGGATGAAGCACAAGCTGGAATCAAGACTGCCAGGAGAAATATCAATAACCTCAGATATGCAGATGATACCACCATTATGGCAGAAAGCAAAAAAGAAATAAAGAGCCTCTTGATGAAACTAAAAGAGAAAAGTAAAATGTTGGCTTAAAACTCAACATTCAGAAAACTAAGATCATGTATTCCGGTCCCATCACTTCTTGGCAAATAGATGGGGAAACAATGGAAACAGTGAGAGAATTTATTTTTGGGGTTCCCAAATCACTGCAGGTGGTGACTGCAGCCATGAAATTAAAAGACACTTGCTCCTTGGAAGAAAAGCTATGACCAACCTAGACAGCATATTAAAAAGCAGAGACATCACTTTGCTGACAAATGCGTGTCTAGTCAAAGCTATGGTTTTTCCAGTAGTCATGTATAGATGTGAGCGTTGGACCATAAAGAAGGCTGAGCACTGAAGAATTGATGCTTTGAACTGTGGTGTTGGAGAAGACTCTTGAGAGTCCCTTGGACTGCAAGGAGATCCAACCAGTCAATCCTAAAGGAAATCAACCCTGAATATTCACTGGGGGGGACTGATGCTGAAGCTGAAGCTCCAATCCTTTTGGCCACCCGATGCAAAGAGCTGACTCATTGGAAAAGAC